GCCATTTCTCTGTGTCCTTTCCAGGAATATATACTTCTATCCTGCCATTAAATATTGCTGTCCTTCAAGACTCACTCCATTCGTAAAGGAAATGACAACAACAACTAAGACTCATTCTTGGCTATCCATTCTTCATAGAGCAAACCAGGGTGAATTTTTCAAAATATCTCACCATGTCATCATGTCAGTCCTCTACTTAAAACTCTTCAATGACTTTATTTTGTTGCACTGAGGATAAAGACCATAATCTTTAAGGTAGTGTATATAATCTGGCCTCTGCTTGCCACGTATACCTAGATACAGAAGTTGAAAGAAGAGAAAGAATTTTTAAAGATGTGCCGGAAATTTCTATTATTAAAAAGTTAAAAAAAAAAAAACTCAATAGATATTGGAAAGGATGTGGGGAAAAGGGAATACTTTTACACTATTGTCAAAAATGTACATTAGTACAACCTCTGTGGAAAATAGTAAGGATATTTCTCGTAGAACTAAAAATAGAATTACAATTCAATCCAGCAATTCCACTTGTAGGTATCTATTTTTAAAAAATCATTAGATCAAAAAGATACTTGCACTCAAATGTTTATCACAGCACTATTCACAAGTAAAGTCATGGAATCAACCTAAGTGTTAATCAATGGATGATTAAATAAAGAAAATGTGGTATATATACACCATGGAATACTATGCAGCCATAAAAAATGAAATTATGTGTTTTGCAGCAATATGGGTACAGCTGAAGGCCTATATCCTAAGTGAAGTAACTCAGAAACAGAAAATCAAATACCACAACTTCTCACTTATAAGTGGGAGCTAAGCAATGGATACTGTATTGGTCTGTTCTCACACTGCTATAAAGACATATCTGAGACTGGGTAACTTATAAAGAAAAGAGGTTCAATCACCTCACAGTTCTGCAGGCTGTATCAGCTTCTTCTGAGGAGGCCTCAGGAAACTTACAATCATGCTGGAGGGCAAAGGGAAATCAGGCAAGGTCTTCACATGGCTGGTAGGAGAGAGAGAGTGAAGGGGTAAGTGCTACACATGTTCAAACAACCAGATCTCGTAAGAACTCACCATCATGAGGACAGCAGAGGGGAAATCCAACCTCATGATGCAATCACCTCCCATCAGGTCCCTCCCCCAACATTGGGGATTACAATTCAACATGAGATTTGCGTGGGAACACAGAGCCAAACCATATCAGATACACATGGACATAGAGAGGGGAATAATAGACACCAGGGACTCCAAAAGCACGAAGAGTAGGAGAGGAGTGAGGATTGAAAAATTACCTATTGGATACAATGTTCACTACTTGGGTGATGGGTACACTAAAAGCCCAGACTTCACCACTACACAGTATATCCATGTAACAAAACTGCACACATATCCCTTGAGTATATAAAAAAGAAAAAAAAAAGATGTGTCAAGAATTCTTAGACAATTCTACTGAATGAGTTTTTTTCCTAACCACCTTTCATGTAACAATGCTCAAGTATTTCCAAGAGGGTGATGGACCACAGAAGAAAGTAAAATCAGGAGATTTATGACAGATTGGTGAGTTTGATGGATCCTAATCCACTCCTCTGGTACAATGTGTTTGTTAAAATCTGGTACACAGAAGACAGAAATTTATATGGCACTTGAGTAGTGTACAATGGTAGCCACTTTAACACTGTTGTTTATATTGCAATTCAATAATTTGTCTGCATCTTCTACACTTGAATGACTGCTAAGCCTGCTTGTTTTCCTGATCTATCATAATTATTTTTTAAATATGTGCAAAAATACATACACATACCTTTTCCTTTTTGAGTTAGGGTTTCCAGACTCCAGAAATTTTGTAAGAGTCAACACATTTCCAATTTTTTATTCACTGCAATTTTGGCAAGCATACCTTCCCTATTTTCATTAATATCATTGATTAAACTATTAAATAGAACTAGGTCAGGTATAGAACCCTGTAGCAAGCCAGTGAAAACAGCTCTTTCAAACTTCAAGTCAATACTGAGTTGACCCAGGATTTCACCTTCAGAAGCAACCATGATCCAGGATGCAGTCACTCAATATATATGGATGCTTGAGGTCAAATGATGTACTATCGAATAGATTCCAAAGCTTCTTGACATCATTTGACCTCAAAAAGCCTTAGAATCTATTAGAGGAGATCAGTTAATACGTGATGCATTAAAAAATAGTACCAATATACTATGAGCCGAAAACTAGTGTGGTTTTTTTCTTTTTTAAAAAAAAGGTATTTATTTCTCCAAGGCAAAAGTCTAAAAATCATTATGGAAACCATTATTGATAAAGGTCAGAAAGGATAATGACACCTAAAATTAATGAAAAGGTATGGCTCTGTCCTGATTTATCTGGTAGCTGTCAATTTTTATTTAAAAATCTCTTCTATGAAATGCAGAAAATTATGGCAATCATAACAATGGAGTGTGCCTCTTCTAGTCCAAGGTGAGACCTCCAATTATGCACTAAGATACCATTTTCTCCTAACTCTGGGACATGGCAGTACCAATGATCCCATTTTTCTTTTGCATCATCAACCTCTCTCTCTGTACAGGTTGTTCAACTCAAAATACATGCTGCAAATATTTTCTCTTATTGCATCATCAACCTCTCCCTCTGTACAGGTTGTTCATCTCAAAATACATGTTGCAAATATTTTCTCTTATTTTCTTTATATTGCTATAAGGAACTTATGATTGAAACAATCCAATTAATATACAAACATAAAAACATGGTGAGAATCTTTTAGTGGTAAAAGTTTCCATGTGAAATGGATTATTCTGTTATGAGATATAAGTTGTCATTGTCTAGAATAAATTTAAATGTATAGAATATTTTCTTGCCCACAAGTAGCTGTAGATAAATCCTACTTTAAGAAAACATATGTAAATGAAGATTTATTTTGAACATGTAATTGAATAGCAATTTATAACATCATAAACTTTTCACACAAAACATTTTTAATGTTTAATACTGACTTCTTTTTCAACTTTCACTTTACATTCAGTGGGTACATGTGCAGGTTTGTTACCTGGGTAAATTACCTGATGCTGAGGGTTGGGATATGAATGATCCCACTACTCAGGTACTGAGCATAGTACCCAACAGTTTTTCAACCCTTGCTCCCCTCCCTCCTTTTCCCCTCTAGTAGTCCCCAGTGTCTATTGTTGCCATCTTTATGTCCATGAGTACAGCATGTTTAGCTCCCACTTGTAAGTGAGAACACGGACTTTTCACAAAATCTAAAGTCAGAAGGAAAACTTACCTAGTAGTTTCAAACAAAAGATAAATTATTATGGCTTAAAAAAAGTAACAAATATCTGATTTACTTAATAACTATTCTCTATATAAAAGATTCGTAATGGTCCTTTTTTAAAATGTAGGCTACCCTTGTACCCTTAAATGATAAAATATTTAGCAAAACCACTGATGTATATCTGAGAATGGTAATGTGAAATAGATAATAACTGGAAATTTTTATCCACAAATTCAGTTGCCACCAACTATTCTTCAAATCAATCTGGTTTTTGTTTTGTTTTTTTGTTTCTAAGAGAGGGGGATCTTGCTGTGTTGCCTAGGGTGGCCTTGAATTTCTGGGCTCAAGGTATCCTCCCACTTCAGCCTCCCTAGTGGGACTATAAATCATTCTTTTCACACATTTACATTCCCACAATGGATTGAATACATTCTGATTATAAAAATAATATATATTTATCATAAAAAATGTAACATGGAAAAGTACAAGAAAAAATAATTCATAATTTTACTTCCAGATATAATCACTTTTAAGATTTGGTGCATGTCCATCCAATCAATTTCCCAATTTTTACATAGAAACAAAAAACTGAATGTACAATTTTGTCTCCTGAATATTTACTAAAGTTTAAATCATAAATATTTTCTTATGCCATTAAGCATTTTATTTAAACTTCCTTTTAATAAATATACATTAGATCATTGTATGAATGAACTTTAATCTATGTAGGTAGTTATATTAATTTTGGACATTTCTACCTTTCATATTTTTGCTATAATAATGTACTGCAACGAACATCATGACCCTCACTTTTTATCATTTTCTTGGGATTAATTTCTGAATCAAAAGACATAAACATTTTCAGATTTTTGAGGCAGTGGACTCAAGAACACAGGTACAGTGTAGACCAGGGGTAAGGCAACTTATTGAAAAGAGAGGAATTAAGTAAAAGTCTATATGCTAAGAGATGGGGCCTCCATCATTCACCCTCTTAACCCACTTGGCAGCCAGAAAGACATCCCTGATTGGAGAAATGGACCCAAGAGAAAAGATCTGCAGATAATGACATTTAGAGGTCCTACAGTGAGTAGCCAAGTCCCAGCTAATTACCCTAAAGTTTAAAATTAATCTATTACCATTTATCATTAATCTATAACCTATGGTAGCTCACATTTTAAACTACTATGCTCCAGTTTCTCCATTTATTCTCCTTCAGTGGTTCCCCTTACCATTCTGGCCGGTTCTGACTTAGGGACAGTCTAGAGAAAGAAGTCACACACTCGTCACTTTTCCCACGAGGGAAAAACCACCAAGCTAATTTTGTCTTCTCTTGGCCACAGGCCACAGAATAGTTCACTGAAATACCTAATGCCCTAGAGTAGAGACTGTCTCCTGGGGTCAAGTATATTTTAAAGCAAATAAATCCCCAAAAAAGAGAACAGAGCCACACTAGACAAGTCGGAGTCCACCTTTTATTCACTCTTGTACCTCCAAGGACTAGAACTTGGCCTGGCACATGGCAAGTGATAATACACATTTGCATGGACGGATGAATGTATATGGCTTCTTTAGGCTGAATTTTAACTCCCACCAAGAACAGACAACTACCTTGCCTCTCTTCCCCACTCATTTTCGGGTCTTCCACATAGCAGCCAGAGCCTCAGAGACCCTTGAGAGTTTCCTCCACTCCTCCCTCGTTTGTGGCCCTGGAAGCTGCAGGTGGTAGTTTCCTTCGCTGGGGGCGGCGCCTGGGCGCCGGTGTCCCCGGCCGAGGCGGCCTCGCTGTCCTGGAAGGGAGGGTGAAGAGCTGCATCCCGCACTAGGCGGCGAAAGAGCGCAGCGCCAGGCGGCGGGGTCCGGAGGCGCTCGACGGCTCGCCCCCAGCGCGGGAGACGGGCTGTGTAGTTGGGCCAGAGGAAGAGACCGGGAAACCCAGACGTGGAAGAGGGGGTAGTCTGGACTTCGCGAGCCCTGGTGGGGGTGGTGGCCCACAGAGCGCCCACCTGCCCCGGGCCCCCGCAGCGAGGAGTGGCCGCGCCGCCCGCCAGTGAGCCGGGCTCCGAGACCCGCGGGGGAGCGCGCGGGCGAAGGAGGGGCCGCCGTCGCTAACACGGCCGCCTTCAGCCCTTGGCTTCCGCGCGTCGGAGGCTGGCAATTCCACGTTCCCCGCGGCGGCCGGAGTCGTGCGGGGGCCAGGCGGCTCGGCGGGCGCCGGGGCTGGCACCTAGGTGACCTGTCGTCCGCCCCTGCAGCGAGTCTCCAGTGGGCATGTTTCAGGTGGGCAGGTCCAGCATCCCCAAACCTGCCCCCCGCAGCCTAGAGGACCTGGACTCAGTGCAGCGTGTCCTGTTACACAGGTCAGTGCAGGGCCCCGCGGCGCGGGGCGAAACCGCCCTCTTGCCCCGGGGATGTGGGCGAGGGAGGGGCCGCTTTTCTTTCTGGGGTCTTTCTGGAAGCATTTGACTTGGGATTCGCCTTAGTGCGGCGCTGGCCGCGAAGGGCCGTTGGGACCTGCACCCCACCCTTTCCAGAGTCGGGTGCCAGCGATCCACCCTGTCCCGCTGCCGAGACTGGCCCCGCGCGGGTCCCGGTCACCCATCTCCTCCGGAAAACGCTACCTTAGGAAGAAGAGAAGGATTAAGCGAAGCTGTCCCTTAACACCTCCAGTCTTCTTCCAGGAAGCTAAGAGTTTTGTTTGAACTTTAGTTGTGACTGGAATGGAAAAGAGCTGCTTTTTTAACAAATCTAATTCTACCCCACCCCCCTCCCACACACGCGCGCGCATGCGCTCGCTCCCACACACCAACAACTACACAAAAGAAATTTAAGAGTTTCTCTCGGAAGAATGAGAACCCCAACTTTCCGAAAGCTGCTAGGGCATTAATTTTAACCGCTGGTACTTTCGTCCAACCTTACCCTTTATGCAAAATAGACTAACAAATATTAAATCCCATGGTTACAGTGATGGGTGTATAGAAGAGAAAGAAATAGTCCACATGAAGAGCAAATTGTCTTTCAATTTTAAGAAAGGATGGATGAAATACCAGGCAGTTAATGCTGCTTTAGTTCTAGGAAGGCCTGGCCTTCATAAGACGTTGTAGGGGGGGAAAAAAAAAACTCTTAGAAATATATCTAAAGTGTCTCTTGAATACATTTGTGGCGAGAAAGAGTAAGTGGCGCTTAGTAAATATCTGTCAGAGGGAGGTTTATGTGAGCCCTCTCATCTGTAAACGTTTCAAGTGGCCCTTTTAAGTCTTTGTACAAAACCATATGAGCTGTAGAAATCCTGTTCTATTGGATGTGTGAGTAAAAAAGAAAGACAGTGTGCAAGGGAGAAATCGGGTGTCTGCGATTTCAGAGCTGTCTTCTGAAACCTGCAATTTTCTGCAGCTGGTTTCCCCCAACCCCCAAAGAGCCCCTGCCATACAAAATAAAATATTATTAAACGAGCAGTGAAAAGGGTATTCTGTTAAATTCCCAAAAACAATTCCCCCTGCATTTGATAAAATTATAGTCCAGGAATAAATCCCAAGAAGCATTAACTAAAAACTCATTCACAGCATGACTTTGTTGTAAAGCTGGGAGAGGTGCTAATTTTAAAAGCTTAAGACCTTGCTGCAACAGAATTTCTTCATATTTGTCATGTTTTAAATGTCGAGTGCCAAAAAATTTCAAACTGATTAACACTTTAGGAGTTCAGATCCAAAGCACAAACCCGTCCGAATAAACCAGGCAAAAGAATATGTTTAAGCTGTAGTCATGAAGACTGAGATGATTATTTCGGAAGTAATGGAATATTTCTAGAATAACCTGCTCAGTATTAGAATGAAAAGCTACTTTATCTGAATTACAAATAACTGCTCCCAAATGCTAGAGGAACCAATGGAATCTGGAACTATAAATGTGTTTGTCAGTATCATGGCTAACAGTGCTTTCTTTTCAACATTATACGAAAATCTTTTTGCTACTGCAATAAATTACTCTTATTAGTGGTTATGTATTAATGTTTTCAAACACACATTATAAAAAACTTCGACATCTGTAGAGGTTTCTCTTTCATTTAATGAAGCTGTATTTCACACAAGTTCACATCTAATCAAATGTCTTTTGCTTGTATATATAGATTTGTTTAGGCACAATATTATAGAAATTAGCGAGATCTGATAACCCTTAAATCATACTCGTACTTACCATAGTTCTCATGAACCATATCAATGCATGGCCTTTTTTAAAAGTATTAATATTACAAAACTTTTATTTTTTCCTTTAAAACATCCATTGTAAATTATATACAAAATTTTGGCAATTGCATTAAAGTGACTAGCAGCCGTGTTATTAAGAGAAAATAACAGACTATTCTATTTTATTTTAACGTCTTACTTTAAAGGGTAAGTCTTGTGAGTGTGTACTTTTTTAAATTATTTGTATATTTTCCATTGCAAATATGGTTTTTAAAATGTAGAGCATTAAATTGTTGTGCTTTTGAAAAAGATACTTCAGCCAACCCAAAATTAAAGCAAAGTTGCAAACTTTTCTCTGCATGAGGTGCTAACATCAAAATGTCAATACTAAAATAAAAATAGCTCAGCAAAATAAATTTAGTTATTCTGCTTTTTGAAAAAAGTTACACATAAGTTGTCTGAGTCAAGGAAAAGCATCAGTATTGCATTTCTCAGTTACTTTTACTTACATTATTTTTGTGTCATCTTGATTATAAGAAATAACCAAACAATCCTCTTAATAGTATTTTGCAAAATTTTTTTTAAAAACCCCACATGCACAATACTATTGCAAATTAATCATTTCCTTGGAGTCCTAATGCTTCTGTTGCACAGTAGTTGTGTGACTTGGCAAGATTTTTCACTTATTTGTATTTTCCCCTGTTCTTTCTTTAATATTAAGGGATAATACCCACCTCACAAGGTGTTGGTGTGAATTTCTGATGATATGGAAGTGCTTTATAAAACTAAAGTTCTGTCAAATATAAGGGATTATGTTAACAACTGTTCTATGATAAAAAACTAAAACAAAACACAAAAGGATAGCTATTCCTAAAGATTCTGAGAAGATTCAGCCAAGTGACTTTGCCCAAGGCCTAATAGCTAATGAATGGTGCTGGTCCAGGCTAGCGTGCTGGCTTTTTGACCCCCTAAGCCAGTGGAGAAAGTGAACTAGAGGTGATTCTCAAAATTTTCGACGACCCAAATTTCATACTCTTACCAAAGGCGAAAATATGCAAATTCAAAATACTGCAACTATCCAGAATTCTCAGGGGGTATGCCCAATTAAGTAATATTCCTGTTAGTAAAAGAGTATGTAATATCTTTTTAAGTTCTAAAAATAAAAACTAAAATGAATAATTAAAAAACCAAAAGCTTTTGAAAATATAATAAAGTACACACTGCTCTGTTTCTTAAGGTATAAGGTGTTAGATTTCAAGGGTTATCTCATTTGATTTTCAGCAACCCTATATAGTAGGCAGGGATTATTATTGCTGCCTTCAGATGAGGAAACTGACTTCGTCCACTTCCACTTGGTTACTGGTGCCAAAATCAGGATGAGAACTTGGATCCCCTGACTGGAGAATGCATGGCACTTACAGATTATCAAGTATTTTTTCCAGTTGATGTCAAATTATTGTAGGATTCAACAATGCTGTTAATTTTTTTTTTTTTTTAGGTGCTACTTAGGGCATTTGGCAGTCATTTATAAACTATGGTTTTTTGGTAATTCTCATGTCTGCCTTTTGTTTTTTACTTTCCTCTTCATCAGCAGATTGTCGGCCATCAACAATTTCCAGGGTTGTTGCATTCCTATTTTAAGGGAGCCGCCTTTCTTTCTGATCGGCAGCTATAGTGGTAGAACAACTTGCCAAATTTGTTATAATTTGTAAATGAAGATATAAAATGAAAAGAAACAGGAGTAAATGAATTGGGTTTTGGGCTTGAGCTTTGTGCCATCTATTTTAGTCTCACTTGTGCTTCTGGATTCTCATCTGTATTCCATTCCTATCGAAATGTGGAATATATGATCTTATTGCAGGTACGTTCCATGCATTTTAACAAGTAATTCTACTTTTATAGAGGGAAATGAGAATTTTAGATCACAATGCAGTTCTGTACATTTAGGATTGCTGAAATGTTATTTTGATATATAAACTCTGAAATTTGAAATCTTCTACATAATAAAGTCTCACTTTCTAAAATGCTATTTTATTGGTCTACCAAGTTATTTATTCATATTTTTAAAACAATTATGGCTGTCATTATTACCACATAGTTCATAAAGTATAATTATTTCTGTGTTCACAATTAAGGCAATATTAGTTTCTAACAAACTCTTACATAATTTTTACCTTGTAGTTTAAGTTTTTTTAATGAATATGACCTCATGTGGCCCTATTTTCATTTACTTCTCATTGCTAGCTTCTATTACTACTAGAGAAAGAGCTCCTGAACCTGCTAACGATACTAAATATTTAATTATGTCCTTATCTGGTGTATTTTATGTTAGAATTGTATTGTTTGCCTAATCGAGATGGTAATCTATGGAAATAAGGATGTCATGTCTCATATGCATTAAATTAAACATATTTGGGCTTCAGAAGATGGCTGGTCATTTTGTAGTGGAAAAGGGAAAATGAAAATATACCCCAGTCTAAATCTCTTAAATCTTCTTGCAATTGCTAATTATGAAACAGACAGAATATTCTTATAAAGGCCCTGAAAATGGCATCCTATTCCTTTCCTTTCTTCATCCTTTTGAAAATATCTAAGCTCATTAAATATTAGTAAGGTTATTAGAAATATGATATGTAAATTTAGAAATATGTCTAATTGATACTACAACCTGAAAATTAAAATAAGGATAAAAATGATTGATATTATTTCTTCTTTGATGAAAGATCAAGCAAGGTGGTAAATTTTGTTGTTGCTCACTTTTATCCATTTAACTAACACATGTAAGTAAATTAGACAAGGGAGTTAACATAACTCAGGGATATAGCTAACATCCTAGCAGGTATACTTTCATGTGGCATTTTTTGCTCCAGTTCAACCTTGTGACAGGTGAAAGACTGAAGAGAGAGAGAAAAAAAAAAAGACCCAGTCAGGTTCTCCAGGAGATTGTCATTTGGTGGCAATGATAGAGGTATTCCTATTTAATTGAGATATAAGACAGACTGATATTAGTTATAACCTAATTTTATGGGCTAGATTATGAGGAAAGAGTAGAAAAAGGAATTCTTGCTGAGGTAGGAGATGTGTCTGGGAGGGTTTTTGGGAAAAGGTGCTATTTGAATTGGATCTTGAAGAAAGATGTAGTATTTCAACAAATGAATTTTGGGTAAGTATCATTC